GTAGTAGTAGTAGTAGTAGTAGTAGTAGAGTAAGTAAGTAATAAAGTAAAGTAAAGTAGTAGTGTGTGTGTGTGGTGGTGGGGGGGGGGGGTTGAGGACCTAAAAAAGTATTATTTAAAAAATTTTAAAGGACCTTTTATTTTTGGTGGGGATGGATGGGCTAGGTACCAATGTCTCATAACCGGTTTGGTCCTGGTGAATTCTTGGTTGAGATCGGTGATTTTAAGAGGTGTTGAAACACTTTTTTTTATGTAATATTATGCAAAAATATCGGTTTAATTTTCATCGACTTTTAGAAATCTCTGCCAAAAGTGATAATATTTTTCTCAAATTCAGAAAAAAAAAACTTAAACCTTTTTAATATTTTGCTGATTATGACTCATTCAAAGAATGAGGACAAGATTGAAAACCCAAATTTATTGCTACTTTAACCATTTCTTGGGGTCAATGAAAGGGCACATCCCTAAATTTTAATCAAAACAAACCGAAATATTAAATTCAAAGGTTTTTATTAGTAAATTTAATAATGGTGCAGCATATTAGAAGCCGTTTTAACAAAATGAGCCGCCGCTAACATCTGTGTCAATGGGTTCGTGTGAAAGAGCCAATCAAACCATTTTCTATACCAATAAACTCCTAATAAGGAGCCAACATCCAATGCTCCTGCGGGAGCATATACTATATATTTACTCGCTCAAGCATATGACCAACTTTAGAAATCCTATGGCAATTAAATTCTTCGAACCATCTAAAAATTAAAAATTACTAGACAACTACTTTCCTAATAGAGAATCTGAATTTAAAATTTTCCAACACCTAGATCTCACACGCAAGAAATTGATTGGCCTCTATTGTGAAGTTATTTATGAAGTGCATAAAAATAAGATTTAAAAAATTGTTTCATGGGGGCTCTAGACGGCATTGCTACATAAGCGGTCCAGAAAGTGTAAAGCATCCATCTTAAAGATGGATGCAAGTAGGTGTTCCATGTAAAATCAATGGGGACTAACGGTCCAAATATTTTTTTATTAAAATCATTATTTTTAATTTTTAAAATTTATTTATTTATTCATATTCATGATATCCACGTTAGAGATTACATCTCCATAAAAATTAAGTCTTAAAATCCATCTAAAAAATAGATTTATTAAGTAGCCAACATTTTTACATACGAGGTATTGGCCGCATAGAAACTGGGTCCATAAGATTTTGGGACTTTTTTTTTTTCTTGAAGGTCGTTTATAGTTGAAGAAATGAATATCCAAAATTTTAATTCCGACAGTTAATCATAAATCAAATTTTACCGGTGGGAGACAACGAACACTATACTCCCATAGGAGCATAACATCTTATGGCATATATAATATCTAACGAGAAGCAGTGTGGAAAGAAGGAGGTGAGCGGAAGAAACGCGTGGACGGGGATCTAAAACCAATTCCGCGTACGAAAAACCAAAACTTGGTATCCTAATCAAGAGAGAGAGAGAGAGAGAGAGAGAGAGAGGAGTAATAAAGTAAGAGAGAGTATACGTACGTACGCGACGCGTCGTCGTGTAGTAGTAGAGAAGACGAGAGGAGAACGAACGAACCGAACCTACGTACGGTTACGG